GGTGGCTTGCGGGGCAAGTTGGAATTCGTTTTGGGGTAAGAGGCAAACGGGATATCGTTTAAGCGGAAACCCCAATCCTTCCCCCCCCCCCCCCCACCCCCGGAAGACGGTCAAGAGGCGCGATTTCTCCGGCTGTCACCAACTTGAAACTCCAGTTTGGTGCTGTGCGAGTCTTCAAATAATATCACATAAAGTGCATTGGATTACTATCTGTCTGAGGTTACCACCCGCCGAGTTTGATGGCTTTTGCTGGAAAACGGACTGAAATATTTACGAATTTGTTCTTAGCTGCATTTTCATGGGTTTTTGACCTTCAAAATTGCTTTTTTGAATTGATTCCAATGTAGCAATATTGAGTAACCCATGCAACTCCTAAATATATCTCCTTTTAAAGTTCCAGTACTTTTTGAATGTTATAAAACACTTATTATGTGCTTTTTGGTGTCCATCTGGCAATAAAAATCGAGCCTCTTGACATACACCCCCCACCCCCCTCCCTCACAATCATCTTCTCCCTCTGATGTTACCTTTCGTCTTCTGTAGAGGAGAGAGTCATTCCTGCCTTATCGATCCTATTTCTGCAAAATACAAAAATCTGTTTCAGCAGATTCGTCGGTTAAGCGCGCGAATTCAACAAGCCTGCCCGAAATAAACAAAAGCCTTGTTTACAACTAAGAGAAAATGAAATGACACCAAAATTGGTGTGTAGATGAGCAATAGAGATTTAGGACTATGTGCAAATAATTATAAAAATTATGTGAACTGAATACATGGCAAACTTTTTTCGGAGTTGTGTGGCTTTCCAACCACCTTGACAGCCTCCTGAGGTGGCTGTAAAAGGGAAAAGTCATGTATTTTTCTTCTTTCACATAATTTTTTCACTAGTTCAACATAACTTTGTTCTACATCAAGAACCCTGCAACTGAGTTCTTGAATTTCCGCAAACCCCCTCCTCCTCGCCTAGTTACAGCCCTCCACATATTTTGTATGGCGGCGGCAAGCCTGCTCTAAGCTCACAATGGTGTACGCCGGGCACAGCATGCCGCCAATTCGAAGAATACAAAGTTCTTTAGTTCTTTTTCTCTTCAATATTGTTTTTGAGTTTTGTTTCATTAATCTTTGTTACCTGTTTGATCCATTCATGATTGCGTCATAGGTGATGTCGTGTTTTTGTTGCGAAGTCTGCGGGGGCTCGTTTTTGAAAAATCGAAAAAGCTATCTCATGCCTAGCCCTGATTAAGTGTCACGTTTCACAGTAATACTACAGTGAAAGAATTAGTGACTATCACAAGGGCGAAAGTTAAGATAATAGGCTGGGGACCAAATTTTCAAGTTCTTGCAACTATTCTCATCATTTTTTATATTTGTACGTGGTGCACTGATTTCCGGCATAACGTAAACATTGTCATGAACCACAGTTGTGCATAAGAGATTTTTGAAACGAGAACAATGTAGTTGACGGTGGAACTCAAGAGCGGTGAGTTGGTCAAAAGCATCACAGGATGTGATGGTTCAATCAAAGTTACATCGTGGTAACGACGATCATCTTGTGACGGCCTTTCAGTTCGCTCGGTCTTACAGTGAAACAAGCAAGTAACTAGTACGTTACCATGATTGTTTCATGATTGTATTATTCTGAACCAAATTACGAAGTAACCGGCAGATCAACATCATTGCTTCGTCATTGATAGAATAGTAAAGTAACACTTCATTTTATGAGAGGCAGACATGACCGTCCCATCACTTTTGAAATGAAAGTCCTTGACCAATTTCACATTTGAAACAATGATGTTGCTGGTCTCGCAAGTTAAGAGTAAGGAAGCATTCTGTAAGTTACCACAAGGAAGCTTACTTGCTCACTGTTTAGATAAGATTATGGGAGAATGCAGGGATAAACCGCACTGCAATTTTGGTAAAGTGCAATGAAGGTGGTAAAGCATGAGAATGAATGGAACTTTAAAGGCATCGTCCACCCAAATTCTCGACTTCCATGTTTTTATCGCTTCCCGGTTTTCTGAAGGCCCTGATTTTGTATATAGAGTCGAAAATTCTTGAAAACCCCAAAAAACCCCGTTTTGGAAAAGGGTGCAATGCAGGTCGCGGGGCTGCGACACGGATATACGCCGGGCGCGTCATTTGCAAACCTGCAAAGTGGACGGGGTGACCAGGTGGGCGGAGTGACCAGGCGGATTTCTCGCTCCGGAAGCAATCTTTTGCTGCGCAACTTGTGGGTTGGCCTAGTGTGGGGACCCACATTAGTATGCCATCGAATCTCGTGAACCCCCACTTTAGGTGGACGGTGCCTTTAATCTTCAGTAACATCGCTCTGCTAAATCTAGAATCAAGTAAAAAATTGTCCACCCCGTGGTCACCGAATGGTTAACTCGTGGTATTCAGAGATCATGTGAAGTATACTTGGAGAAATTCGAAGTTTTCCATTGAATGAATGAATATCGAATAAACTCAAAAATAATAAAAAATTATAAACGAATATCGAAAAAATTCTGAAATATTAAGTGGGTCCAAGAGTTTGTGCCGTTTTTTTAGACCTATTCTCAAATCAATCAGAATAACGATAGGCACTCTAAGCATTGTTCTATACATATTCTTCCCCTTATCACGAGTGGTGTCTTTGTTCGGATTCCTTCAATTCTTTCGAATAATTGCCGAAATCTCCAACCCATGCATTTGACGTACCCCAGCTGCTTATTGAAATTTTCGTTTTGCACTTTTAAAAGGCTTTGATAATAGTCGGATAGAGTAAACAAAATGCCACAGACCCCAAATCTTTTAACATCAATAGCTTCCTTTTTAGTATCTTTGAAGGCAATTTTTCCAAAAGTCTCCACATTTGCGAAGTTGTAAAATATACAAACGCTTCAAACATTATGAAACCTTCGCCAATTGGAACCTCCAACTTCGATTACGATTGAACACTAATTTCAGCAAACAAATGAGCTCCTAACGCCTCGCAATACTAGGTTTATGGCAATTTTTTTCCTCGAGGCCTTTAGAATCAAAAAGCAAAATCAGCGGCCAAAGAGAGGAGAAGACGCTGCATCGAATGACTCCCTATCGATGCCAAAAAATTTTATCACATTTCATTTTGTTTACTCTATTCAACCGTCATTGAAGCATTTCCTAAACTTCAGCACGAAAATTCAAAAATTTTAGGGTAGGTAAAAACCGTGGGTTGAAGATTCTGATGGAATTTGACGATTTTTCAAACGAACATCAAAGGCATCCGAACAAAAACACGACTTATACAAAGAGGAGGTAATCCTACATAGAACATTTCTTCGAGAGTTTGTCTATTTATGTTCTGAAATGATTTGATGACATGTCTGAAAAACGGCACGAACTTTCGAACCCACCTAGTAGAAAATCTCGAATAAACGAATAGAAATAAATTTAAAAATTGAATTTTTTGAATGAAAGTTTATTTATAAAATTGGGTTCTGATACTTTACGAGTGTGGCCTTGTCCTGATTCTGCTCACACTTCATTAGTTGATATTCAGTTCTCATGACAATGAGCAATCGTGACAGTAGACTTTAAGCCCAAGCAAACTTCGTTTCCTTTGAAATTCTGGGATCTACAGTCAGGAGTCTACTGCCGAACGAAGGTGCATCAGCATTTTCAACCAAGCGGTCCGAAGCGTCATGTAAGTGTAAGCGGCTACATCGTCATGAACTCTGCGCGTTATGCACTATATGGATATGAGCTCAAATGTGTCCCTTGATCCCGCGCCATTGTAATGCAGCAGACCTTGCTTGTCAGACGTCCAGTACCTTTTGAAGACAGTTTAGCAGAGCTACAGCAAAAGAGCTTAACTGGAGGGAGCTTCAGAAATGAGGAACCTTGCTCTGGTGTGAGCTACTTCAGCTTGTATGTAGCTCTTAGCTTCAGGTTGTATTGAAGGTTTGTAGTACACAGCAGTGGCGGACGGAGGGGTGGAGGGGGGACCTCTTTCCCCCGAGAATGGGTCATAAAATTTTTGAACTTCACTTAAATGGGTTATTGAAATGTGCAAGTGAGTTGTTCATTCATAATCAATATAATTTTTAGAAATTTCTAAAAAATTTTAGAAAATTAAATTAACCTTGTAAAAAACTTTTCGGGGGGCATAGCTGCCGCTACGCCCCTTTTTTTAGATTTTAGAGATTATGTGCCCACAAAAATTTTGAGAAGCACCCCAAAAAAATTTTCGAAGTGGGTGGCTGACGCTAAGCACCCTCATTTGAAAGAATTTCCCCCCCCCCCTCCTCCCCGCCCGGACAGAAATTCTGCGACTGCCACTTGTACACAGCTTTATATGGGCAGCACAGCATCGCTTTGGCGAAAGCATAGAAATATTCTTTTCTCGCCAGGGAAAAAAGACAGGAAAGATGTTGAGTGGAGTGTGTAACGTGAGCGAGTTGAGGTCCTTAGGATTTCTTGAACAAAGCTGAAAAAAATTTCGACTTTTTTTCTTGAAGATTCAGAACCCAGGTTTTGGCTTCAAACTTGGGATGATGCGCACACGCGCTATCTGGTAGAGCTTCTTTGATCCATCCAAGTAAAACTCTGCTGAGATTGAGAAATGTACGATTGTTGTAGTAAAAAGTCAAGGTCTAATTATGTACCGACCCAAGAAAGATCGCTCGTCGTTAGTGTCATTACGGTCATAGTCTGTCTCAGAAAGGGTAGTAAGAATTTGAAAACATAAAGTATGCTAATCAGTGGCTAACAGTAATCAGTTTAAGACATGCTTTCCCTCTTTTGAGTTTTGCCAGATAGGAGCTCAAAGTGAATAAATTCAAACTGTTTTATAGCCCATACAAAGTTAGCACTGAGAGTAGCATGCGAGAAAATTCCTTCAAACAAATCTTCTAGAGATGTTCTGAAACAGCGGTATTTAACAATGGTAATCTAACAGTGGCGAAGCGGTGGGTTGATAAAATATCTCTAAACTAATTAACAAAACAGAAGTAATAACTTTGAATCTGTCACGAGTGTGGGATAAAAACCTATGAATGAGTTCACTAAATTTTATTCCAGACCAACTAAGTTCTTTTTACAGCTACAACAGTAATTCCAGCAACGCTTTAGATCGAATTTGTTGCACAGTTTCATCAGGCACCGAAGCATGTGAACCAAAATGGAGAGAATGTTTAGATTTAAACTCCGATAGACGTGGAAATTAATGAACATTTTCTGGGGTAAGAAAGTTTTAGACTCAGTCTTCTCAAGTAAATGACCACAGTAAGCATTGCTATCTACAAAAGCATCACTGCTAAGCAGCTTGACAGTAGGCGATCAGGCACGGAACTTCGCTATCAACCGTTTCCTCAGGCAGACTGCATCGCCACATTGTTACTTCATTAGAAGGTTGTGAGCATTTCTAAAGTTCATTATGTCTCAGTCACTATGTCATTAGATCTCCAGGGAAAAAGCAATTTCCTTCTGAATTCTGAGAAGTGCAAAGTTATGAGAAAGTAATAATGTAAATAAAGTCACCTCTAGAACTCCTCCTCAGGAACACAATTAGAAGGTATCTCATCAAGACCTCCAGGACAGTCAACCTTGCCGTCACAAAGATCGGTCCACCTACAAATCCAGGGATTAACCTTTATTTCAGGATCTCACTGGTGGTCTGAGTGGTCTATGATGATAGCACAGCGCACCGTATGCATTTGATAAACTCGTCAATGGGTTGACCAGGACATGTACTCTGCTTTTGTCCGAAGATCTCCGGGCATACTAAAATGTAGCTGTTCTTCACAGGAGCTAAATTTTGATCAATTCTCTTAGCAGACAGCGTAAAAACTCTCTGCAAATTATAAATATTACTCTCCTTCTACTTAGATGTCAAATACATTGCGACCAAGATTCTTACGTTATTACAGAGGCGTCCAAAGTTGTCCATGTGCCAGCTAGCGCCACGACACGATGACGGTAGAAGAAACGAAGTTATACAAGAGAGGTTGAATTAGTTGCGGAGCATCAGATACCACTCTTTTTTGAACGGCAATGATAAGGGTGATTTTCCTTGATAATTTGACATGTGGTGGTAGTTGAGAGAAGAAGGACAGTAAAAGAAGAGAAAAAAGTAGTTTAGAGGAAAGAAAGCAAATTTCGAACTTCCTTAATAAGTGGTTGTCACGCATGCTGATCAAAATTATAACTGGGACCTCCCGCAACGCTGTGTTAACACGGCGCTAGCACATGGGCAAACTCTGAATGCAATGCAGCCTGAGCTCACCTTCGTCCAACTCTAGTTCGTCGGTAGCAATATCCACAGCTCCTAGTTTTCTGCCTCTCCGTACGCGACCAGACTACAATATTTTTGATTTTGCATCTGTGCCCTATCATGTACATTCGTTATTCGGACTAGCAACCAATGAATATGCATGGATTAGTATCGAACGACGGATGCCTATACGAGGTGAGCGTTCGTGAACGCGGCCTATTGGATATCTGAGTATACTCGTCGTTTCCTTGTAATGACCTCGCGTGTCCTTTGCAAGTGCACCACAATTTCGAATTCCGTATGAGGCAGCGCGGCCGTAAAAGTGCCGTGGTTACACACAAAACATAATGGCTAATGTTATGATGTGTTATTTTAAATTTCAAGTTTGGCAGCCTACCTTGTAGGGAGTGTCCCGACAGATTTTGCATTTCGACCTTTCCTAGTTTAGACCTCCTCGTCATGTAATATCCGAATCCGAGCTTCAAATCGGATGGAACGACCGTTATCAGAGCGTTTATACACTTCGCAAAAAGGAAGCTTTGAAGTCTACATGAAAAGTCGGAAGGCTGGCACGGAAATCTGCCTTCTGTAATCTTTGCGCTTAAAGGCAGTGTCCGGGTAAAAACTCGATTTTGAGATTTTGTGCTTATACGAACCTATTCGCTATGCTGAATCCGAAAATCCACATTGGAAAGCACGAAAACGGCGAAAAAGGGCTTTAACAGAGGAGGGAAATCGGCAGGTGGGCGGGGCTTTCCCCACAGCGAATTCACGCTCCCAGCTTCCAGAGCGACCTTCTTGCTTCCGGTTTCAAGTCAATCATTCGCACTTGGCCGGTAACGATGTGAGGACGGCTAGCGGAATCGAGAAGATCGCTCCGGGAGCTGGGAGCGTGAATTCGCTTTGGGGAGAGCCCCGCCCACGTGCCGATTTCCCTCCTCTGTTAAAGCCCTTTTTCGCCGTTTTCGTGCTTTCCAATGTGGATTTTCGAATTCAGCATAGCGAATAGGCCCGGGTAAGCGCAAAATCTCAAAATCGAGTTCTTGCCCGGACACTGCCTTTAAAGGCATGCACAGTCACGAGCGGCCGTGGGGGTCTTACGCGGAATAAGAACGATTAGAACGCTGATTTCAAGTCTGTCTTCCACAGCTGAACGCCTTTGTAGGCGAAGTTGCGAGCAGCTTTATTGTAAAGAAAAATTGTACACAAAAACTGCGAAATCAAGCACATTATTGCCCTTTTAGCTCAACACTAGGTACGGGCCATATGAAGTGACTTAGTTTCATGTTCTGGTGCAGCACTGTTGAGAATGGTCTTGTAGGGCCATGCCGTTTATACGCACGAACTCCTAGCAAAATAATAGCCTTTAACGGCTTATAATTTCGTCCACAGAAGTGCTTTAGAATGCAGCTTGCTTGAATGGGCCACTTCAATCTCAACCATTCCCTTGCGAGATATCGGCTGAAGTTACAACCCTTCGTTCTCAACTTTTGCTAATTTACAAAGTTTCTATTTGAAACTTTTGACCAAACACTGCAAAATCTTCAGAGTACGGGGACTACACTCGCTTATTTTTATCACAAACCTAAAGTAAATGTGCGTTCGCTTCGAAGTTTAAAGAGCAACTTGGGGTAAGCCAGTGCGCACTCGCTTAAATGAGCAAAACTGAGATTTTCCCGCAAATTCGCGTGTCTCGTCAGGAAAAAGCGACTATTAGAAAGCGGAGCAAAAGTTGCATCGAATGTACCTTAACTGTCTCCGCTTCGTGTCTTACGTGGCCAGAATAGGCCGAATATAAAATTCGAATATTTCAAAAATATTTAAAAATTCTCAAAGACAGGCCACAGAGCCACAAAAAATTGCTCCAATTGGCACAAGGTTTGCCTTATCTACTGGCGATCAAAACTCCCCCAGAATCTCAGATAGAATTTCAAAAATCGGCGGCAGACATGATGAAAACAAAGGGTTGTAAGATCCAGCGATAATCTCAGCACTGTCTTGATGAATCACATTGAGAATATGGAAGCTGGAAAGGAGGAGGATTGGTTACAGCTTGAAGTGTTTGTTCATCTTTACTGCACGGGATATGCGGCATTTCACAAAATTGACAGAACTTTTGAACCGACCTAATATGCGCACGCTTAACAAACAGAAGATTTTCTGTTCGATTTAAAAAAGTACCCTAATTTCACGCGTGTCGCGGATTCGCGACTTCCTTTAAAGGAGGCCGCCGTCGCGTTGCGAAGGGTCCCAAAACGCCGTCCTCGCGCTATCCCGCCTCTCACCTCTCTCACCTGCGCAGCGTTATAAGTCACGTAGTCAGTCTTCACTGCTGTCGCCATCGTGAGCGGTCGGGTTCCAGTTTCGTCTCAAGTCATCGATCGATACAGCGCCTTCCCCAACTCAAGCGTCATCTACATCCACGCCATGGAGAACAGACAACCCCGCAGTCGAGGTAACCCCGTGCGCGCTCGCGCCTGGCACACGCCGGCGACACCGCCACGGGGGGTTTCCGATATTGCTGGCCCCTAGGTTTCTAACAGCTGGCTGGTTGTTTTCATTCCCTTGTGTTTGAGTGTAGGGACTGTGATAAGGATAAATGGTGGGTAGTTGGTAGCCTGTGGTTATTGATCGATGCGGTGGGCTGCAGCTCGGCTGCAGCCCCGAGTAATATCGTGTTGTGTATTGCTATCATCATATATAGCCTAGAAGGTTACATCTGTTAGAAGGCTGGCACGATGCGCGCTAGTGCCAAGTGGTGATGGCCACCCCCAAGTGTCAGTAGTGAGAACGGAGCCAACGCCCCAGGCTAAATTTACTGCTAGGGGAGCTGGTAGCTCAGGGCCCCTAAGAGTTAGGCGTTATGCCGTGTGGCAGGCAAAATATAATAGCATTCAGTGCAGGCTAGCTACCGCCCCAAGTGACGTGAACCCCTTTCACGGAGAGGGTCCCCGGTTCCCATACGCCGATGCAGGTGAGCCGTATCCACTGACGTGGGGAGCTGGGCGCCCAATCCGCGACAACGCGTATAGGACGCGGGATTTTTTTCTAAAATCAAACAGCGCAGACACGCCGGAGTTCGCGACCAAAAAACCATATGCAGTGTTGCATATTGCCAAAGAGTATCATGCGTCATAAGTCTCTTTTCCGAAACACAACGAGGCGGATGAGCGGCTCGCCTGAGAAACGGAAAAAGGTGCGTCTCATACGCGTGAAATTAGGTAATAAATAACGATAAATGTGGCAAGACTTGATTTGTAGTTATTACGTTAGCTTGGGTGATGAATTTCACCCCAGTACAAGTACAAAATTCTTCACCAACCTTTGAAACTGATTTAAAACGGCATATGAAAGGATTCTCATCTGATGCGTCAGGACAGTCAATTACACCATTACAAATGTCAAGAGTCCTAGAACATATCACGGTAGTCCTTTGATTGTAAGAACGGATGAAAAACTTACCGTATGCATTTTAGATTGGTTTTCGTAGAATATGGGCACTGTCTGTAATCGTGGCCGAACAAAGCAGTGCAACCTAGACGTAATTTTGCCTACTCATGTTTTTCTGTTTTTAAAAATGAATTTCTGGCTAACCTGTAGCATCTGAGCTTCCTGACAAGTCGTTCAATAAACCATTACTTTCATGCTGTAAAACGTATGATGACCAAGGGTGTATATTTTAAGTATCATAAAGTTGATCTATACTGCTTTGCTGGTTTATCGCAAGTTTTAGATCTTTAACGACCTGACTCAAAATGACCGAAGTTAAAGTGATCTTATTCTCCTGCTTCCATCTCAAAGAATACCCCTTATCAAAACAGCAGGAAAGGCACTATCATGGAGAAAAGAGAGGGTCGCATTGAGGGGTCAGAGAGGGAAGGGGATCGAATCGACGTGATACCGAAGCGATAACATGATATGTATCAACAAGGTCAGTTAAGCACTATGCTAAATACGAGCACGCCGAGGTATTGAACTATCATCGTATACGTACTGTACGATCAACAAGCTAGCCCTACTAATCATAATGAACAATTTTTTTTGTTATCTGTATCAGCAGATCAATAACCACCGTGACTAAGGTTTTAGCGATTTCTGAGGTTTCCAGATATTGGGCTATCTAAGTGAAATGGTCATTTTTGAGCACGAATAAATTCGTTTTCGAAGGCAGCGTCCCGTTAAGGTGAGGGTCCAAGTTTCTAGCGATGTTATAGTACCTAAGCGAACTAAGTGTTACCCTGCCTAAGCTGCGGCCGAAGTTCGGAGCGAAAAAGGGTCTATCAAGCCTAAAATGCCCCGACAGTGGCGGATCTTACGGTAGGCCCCGACGCCGTCCAGGCTAGAGCGGGTATAGTGCACACAGTCATGATCGCAGGGTCTCACAGCGATTCTGCGTCTTCACCTTGGCGAGCTTCGCGTCCTCGCGTTCTTTCAGATTTGGGGGCTTTAGCAAAAGGCTGATTTTGACAATTTTTAGTTCTGCAAGCCCAATTGAAATCAGCGGAACGTATAAGCCCAGGTAGGCGGATAACCGTCGAAATCAGGGGCCGTATTCATCAAGGAACCCAGTGGGTTCCGGAATCCATTGAGCTCGCGAACCCAGTGGGTTCCGTGGGTTCGCGAACCCACTGGGTAAGATCGGTGTCCACAAGTGCCCCGCTGGGTTCGCCAACCCATGTGTCACCAATGTGCCTCCTCTAGTCGGTGTACTATTTTCCTCATTTTCCCACGCAAAGGGATCGCGCTAAACTAAAAGCTCAGCACGCTTGACACGCTTTCGGGAACTCTTATGTTCGGATGGATGTCATAAATCAATGCGAAAACTTGCACTTCCCTTATTCTGTATTTCATTCGAGTATTCTTTCGGACCCGACATTACTGTCGACAATGATATGTGTGGAAATGGATGCAGAATGAGGGCTCTACTCCTTTTTTGTTCAACTGATCTTTCTTACTCAGAGTTGTTTTTTACCTCATAAGGAAGATACCAGCCACATTTTCCGAAGATTGCACGGCATAACTGACATCCACGAATCCGCATAGTTTCAACAACTGTTATAGTGCAAGAAGTAATTTGTTTCGTAGATGTTTTTGCTATACACACATGTAGATCTGCGCCTTTTTTCGAACTCCTACTTTCAAACGGGAATTTCATCAGCGACAAGGCGCATATTCGCAGGAAGCACTCAAGTCTTTGTCCATTTGTATTTCTTGTGCGAGGGCGCCCGAATGGTAGGATGAGTACGTTTTTCCCAGACTGGAGTGTGCAAAGAGATCATCGATAAAATTTTAATCTCTATGATGTAAACTAATACGTGATTACCATGATTGCTACTTGTTCCCTTCCCATTGGTTTTTTAATCCACAGAATAAGGAACAAACGATTTTGATTAAAACCGCTTTTTTCCTTTTTTTGGTTGTCTGCTGACTTGATCGGAATGGGGGCAAGATTTTTTGATTTGAGGAGTACATAAACATAGACAAACATGGACAATAGACAGCCAAATACATAAACACGGCAGGCAGACGCTCTGCTTCCTATATGGGGCTCCCTCTGTAGTCGCAACAAAATTAGAAAAATTATAAGATAGCTTGAGCAAACATCGGCAAGTGCTGAGGCTCTTTACAATTTGACACAAAAAATCTCCGTTAAAAAGTTTGTTGCGACTTCTCAGAGACTGCTAAATTGTGACCGGCATCAAGTTTAATCAAAATTTATCTAACAAAATTCCTTTCAGTTATGAAGAATATGGGAAGTGTTTCTAATGTATAAGTTTCCTAGTAACAACACCCCTGCTAATAAAAGTCTCCATAATATTCAGCAAAGGGACTGGGTTCGCATGTAACCCGCTAAGGAATTTGCACCGTGCTTGGGTTCGCCAACCCACTGCTCCGTGGGTTCCGGAACCCACGAGAACTGGGTAACTTGTTTCGTGAATACCGGCATGCTCGACTTTTGGGTTCGCGAACCCACTGGGTAGGCTCAACCCACTGAGTTCTGGAACCCACTGGGTTTGTTGATGAATACGGTTACAGGTATGCCGGGAAGCTGCATGTAAGATGACTTAGCTATCACTTTTTGCACTCTTTATAAGCACCACTCCTTTTTGCCAACAAGGGAAATCCCAATTCATATTTCACCAGGCTATTGAATTAGGAGCCAGCAAAAATCTCGTTTGTCTCATTTTCGCTTTTGATGTGAGCGCCTTCAGCGACTATTGCTCAGACTAAGGGCCGCATGCATTAACATCCCCGTTGGGGAGGGGATCGCAGCTTAAAAGAAATTTTCATATCCTGAAGCTCCAGATATCCGGATTTCACGCTTCTACCTGTCCTCAAGTATTCCTACTATCCTTCACTATGAACACATTGAACGACAGCGAGAAGCTGTACAAGCTGCATTTTCCAGCTTTTGTACGATCCCTGATGATCCCTGGCTGCCGACCGTCTTTTCTTTGAAGTCATTTTTTCGAAGTCAATAAAATCCTAGAGTTGTGCTGTTTATCTAACCTAATAGTGCTAAGCATGTTTCTGCTAAAAACAAGTGATGTTTCAGAGTCATGAAATTTGCGATGAACCGCAAGTCGTAAGTTGGGGTTTATCAAAAAAAATCGATATTCCAAAAACTCGTTTTTATCAACAACATGCTTACACTGTTGAGATAGATAATCGTTACAACTTTGGAAGGTTTCCGTTAACTTTGAAGGAAGAAAATTGACTTTGAAGAAAAGACGTTCGACGGCGGGGGATCATCAGGGAATCATACAAAAAGCTGGAAAATGCAGCTTGTAGAGCTCCTTGCTCCCGTTCAATATGTTCATAGTGAAGCTTGGCAGGATTAGGGATAAGTAGACAGCGTGAAATCCAGATATCTGGAGCTTCAGGATATGGGGCTTTCTTTTAAGCTGCGGTCCCCTTCCCGTGGGGATATTAACGCATGCAGAGATTCAAACTATCGAATACTTTTTGCCGCCCTCCCTTGCAATGTACGTAATAGCGCAGATTCAGCATGCTACCGTAACTTATCATTTATTGAACATATACTTGGAAAAACGACTGTATCTTCTTCCAGGAGGTACAATTCCGAATGAACTTTCTACTTTGAAGAAAAGAAAGATCAATGGTCTCAACGATATCAATGGCCTAGATGTGTGAATGCTTTAGAGGTAAGTCAATAGGGTGTGGCACAGCCCCCAAAAAGGTGTGGCAGCCACATTTTTTTGGGTTTGCATACCTTACTAACTCACCTCCAAAAGAACTGTCAACAAACAGTGTGTACACGGTTCGATAGACTAAATCTCGTGGTTTTCACAGGAGTAATTTGAGTCTGATTCGTCTTCTTTGTTCTGAGTAACAGTTGCTGAAAGCTCAACCACTGAAGCGAAAAGTGGGACAAGCGAGATGCTGGCTCCAAATTCTATAGTTTGGCGCTTATCTGGAGTGAGATTCCTCTTAGTAGCGCTTTGTATTGTGTGCAAAAAAAGGTGGCTATCTCACTCTTGAAACAAAGGCATTCATGTTTGAAAATGACCATTTCACTTCCACTATCTGGAAACCTCAGAATTCACAAAAGTTTTCACTAAGGTTATTCGAATTGCTAATTACTTATATGTAGTTCAGTATGCTTGGCACTGATTCTATGCTTAACGATAGGTAGACGATAATTCATGGAGTGGAAGAGCGCCAGAAGGAGAGGTCCTACTTCGAATAAGTAGGCGCAACACAGCGCCGTACCGCTGTTCGAAAAAGCGTTCATATGAGCCGTAACAACTGGTCTATATCATGAGTATATTCTCTCGCTTTGCTGTATACGATAGAATCTTGAACTACTTTAGTCCGAGTATGGTATGCTTTTGGAACAGAGTTGAAATTCTTTATTTGGCGGAGAGGAATTGGCGGGGTTTGATGGGAGGAAATCAAACACGATAAAGTCTATTTGAAGTCAATCGCGTGCGATCATAATAATATTCAGGTAATTTCTTGTCCACTGCAATTCTAGTTCTAGGCCGCAGCACAATAAATCGTTCCCATATGTGTGTTACGGCATTTTATCCGACAAAAAAGGGAAGTCTGGGGACGAGTGGCGTAGTGGTATGAGGCGCCACTATGACCAGATCGGACACAGGTTCGATCCCCGCCCCTGGGCCAACCAAGCCCTCTACCCTACGGGGCCGATAAATTGGTACCAGAGTAATCTGGGAAAATAAAAGCACTGACTTGGAAACGGCTGGCCCCCGCAAGTCACACTGTGATAGGCTCGCATGCATACAATTGCCTCTTCGACTATGAAGTTAGTGTGTGCGTTCGGCGCATGCCCCCAGAGGGTATTAAAGACGCCGAATCCTTTATCCTTTATTTTATAAAAAGGGAAGTTGTCAAGTTCCAACACTTGCTAAAGTTCGTGAATTTAGGCAAGGGAACGATCATATTATGAGATCACATAAAGAGGGGAACACGAAGCGTGACATAAGGAAAACCTCTACAGCATTGTTTCGAAAATAGGATGAGATATTGGTGAATTTCAAATAAAGTCTTTAAATTATATCAGGTAAGAGTCTTCATCAGTATTACAAAATAAATAATGTCAGCTTACCGACTCAGATAAAGTGACAGCCGAATATGCAATTACTAGCACAGCAATGGTGAACATTTGCTGAGGTGCCGCACTGTGCAAATAAAATCCTAAAAATTTTGAAAAGCAATTTTTATGCAAGTCAATGGCAGAGAACTGCGAAAAGGCTGGTAAGATATTCTATTTACAAATTAGTCTAATAACAAAGCGAAGCGGATCAACAAGGCAATGACCACATTAACGTGATATTGTTCTCGTAATAGCGTCTCAATGTGTTTGCAGTGGAGTAAATGATTGAGGGTGAATTTCATAATGGCTACAGTCGTGTCAGCCATGTGGTTGTTGCACTACACGGCTGTGTAAAGGTCACTAGTACATTTTCAAATACAAATATATGAGGTGTAAAGCTTAAGAAAACGTTTTTGTAGATGCCTCTGCATGGTAAAAATGACTTTGCATGAAAATTTCGGAGGAAAGGCGAGGAACGATTAGAACGGCGAAGTTTTCGGTTTTTTATCTCCTCTCCTCTCTTCTCTGTCATTACCTTGATTACCTTCAAGCAGCAAAGTTAATCAACAAATCTTTTCATGCATTCCCTACGTCGCCATGTACTCGATAAATAACAGAGCATCTTTGTAGAGCTTCAATTTTCATACTCTCATGATATAAGCCTCTCACAATGTTAGGTTGCCTCAAGATGGCGTGACGGTGACACTGGGTATCGAACTGCAATTCAAGAGTAGGCCTAGGAAGTCTGCTCTTGTAGGGGAAATTTCATTACTCGTTCAGCAAGAAGAAGAGATAGGACGACACCATGGAGACTGCCTTATGCTCTGCAATTACGCCAAGGACAGTCTCCACAAACGTCAACCTCCACGCTCTTCTTTACCACCGCAGAGCATATAGTACCAATCGTCAGCAACTCGCAAATCAGAATTAGATACTTTCTACGAAGACGTAGAGGAGGTCGTTCGCAACGAGAAGTCTTTCTGCAAATTTGTTGTGGACGACTTTGATGCAAAGATCGAGATGCCACTGGAAGAGGATTATGGAAACTTCAATATGGGCTCGCAACGAAAGTGGCAACCGTTAGTTGAATTCTGTCAGCCGCACAAGATTTTCATGGAAACTCTTTATTCATGAAGAGAGAACACGTCAGTGAACCTGGGAATCGCCTAACAGTACGACCCATGCAATCGACCCCATCCTCATCAACCGAAGATGGAGCTTACTTGATGTTTCAGTAGTTTCATCTTTCTAAGTGGCTCCGATCACCACTCCTTCAAGCGAAGCTAGGATTCGACGAAAGCTGGAAAGAAGATGCCATAGCGTCGCTACAAGGAAGGAGTCGTTTATGACGGCAACAGACTGGAGGAGCTCATGTCAAGTTGTGATCAGGCAATCAGGGAGGACCTGACAAACGGCTACGACCGGCTTCTGAAAATCTGCGAGCCTGCCGAGAGTGCAAGCCAACGATTTCAGAGAAGAACTCGGGGCGCATCTCGAATTGCTTGGAAGAAGCGGATCTTTGAGGCAGGATCCGAATGCAACCTATCTCGAGCCTACTGAATGTGGTGGGCAAGCTTTGCACGAAGATTATCCCCGTCTGCGTCTTAAGAACACTGGATGAAGCTCCATCCCCGAGAACAAGCTAGATTTCCCAAAGGATTTAACTGCATGGATTACATCTAGACAATTTCTTGGGTCACAAAAGTCTGCCGGAATTACCGACACCCTCTCGTCCTGACTTTCTTCGACTACGGTAAAGCACTCGACAGCGTCGACGCCGACGCCTTCCTGTCAGCGTAAGTCGACCAAGAGTGGGCCCACCTTGCGTGAGAACATTAACCGACTGACAGGGACGGTACAACGAAGATGCAGTTATTCCATCGCCCCCTGACCATCCCAATTGGGAAGGAGGTCCGAGTAACATAAAATTACCGAGGCTATTCACCGCGACCTTGCAATGGGTGATGAAGCCGCTGTACTGGGAAGGGAGAAAAATATGAAGTTATGGTAGATTCCTTTCGAACCTCTGTTTTGCGGAAAAATTGTTCTTTTTTCAAGCACTATCACAGAAGCGGAGACGATGCTGAAGGAACTCAACGAAGTAGGGAGGAGAATCGGACCGCGAATAATTCGGAAAGACTCAGTTCATGAAGAACGCATTTGCGATGCAGAAATGAAATTGAAAGGTAACTCCATAACAGTCTTCATACGTGTATCTTGAACATTCGATGAACATAGAGAACGACTCGAGGGAAGAGCTAAGCGGAGAAAAAAGGCAGTGTGAGCCTCTGAAGGAAGCCATGACCCAACTAACTGACCCGGAGCTTCGCGCCCACTTGTTCGATTCAACTGTTCTCCCAACGCCCTACGTGGCTGTGATCTGGACCGATACTACAGTCACGTCGAAAGCTTTGCGAGCAACTCTCAGAGCGCTTGAGCACAGCCATCTGAGGATCAGTCGACATAGGCAACAACTTACCGGACTTCGCATTATGGATATGAAAAGAATGTCCCGTCTTTGTGATCAAGCGGATTACGTCGCGAGAGCGAAATATCGATGAGCCACTCACATTTTGGAAAATATAGACGACTAATGAACACCAAAAACATCAGAGCGGATTCCTCGCGAACCAAAACGTTCCCGAGGAAGATCACCAAGGAGATGGAAGACGTGTTCGTGGAACGGATGGACCAACTGAGAAATCAAGTGGGTACGGTTTTTGCACCTGGAACTCGTGCACGCAGCCATCGACGACTGGTTAGAAGATCATGGATGTCTAAAGCGAGGGACAGCGACACATGGAAATATCTGTGCTGGGGGCAGCAGGTGACGTAGAAACGGGTCATCTAGGTGTCCAATTGTAAGTAAATAACATAGTCAAAAAATGATCTAAATTGATTAAATTACAATATTTCAGTGACCTGGTAATTGAGCTACACTTGCAGATTGCCTTGCTTCTCAGATTTCAATGCTTCGATATTCACAGAACCTCTGGAAAAAAGCAATTTACCGTAATGACAGAATGGAAAAGGTACCACTAATTTGTAGTAAACAAAAGACATCTTTGAATTGATCCATATGATGAGTATTTTAACAATTCTTTAACTTGTGCAAACAAAGAAAATTTGGTTTTTGCTCTAGATCTAGGGCCCTAACAAACAGGGCACAGGTGGCTTGCAGGCAAGCTGGGTATCGTTTTTGGAACAAAAAGCTAAGGGTGTATCGTTTTTGAGGCCGAGAAGACATAAAAATTGCGAATTTTTTTTAGGCGACGTTTCTTTTCTTGTTACGTTTAGGGCTTAGGGTCAAAAGAGACTTCGCGAAAATTTGCGTAGTCAAGGGGGACTTCGTTTTTGCATTTTTCAAAAGCCACCTGGTGCCGAGCCCTGCTAACAAAACCTTCATTGGAGGGTAAACTTTCTGATCCTTTGCTCTGGACCTGACGTTACTCTCGCTCAATCCTGTTGCCTTTGCCTACAAAAGTTGTTAGTGAATATAGCCCTTGTTCCATTCCAGATCTGATGCGACGCTCAACAATGGATCACAAAGCACTCCACTTCGAACCAGACTCTGACAGCTTTCAACGACCGGTCACTGTTTCGTAAAGTCACCAAATGACCAGCTAATAGTTGCTCAAGTTAAATAAATGTCCTTGAAACGTGTTTCCAAATGAGAGTTTGATCATAGCGATTAAGAGAACATTTCATTTTTTGGAGAAATGGATAAGTTGTTTAACGATAACAGAGCAGAGCAAGTTAAGATGAAAAGCCGAGCAGCCCACTGCAGCGAGTAAAGCGCATTGAAATGCTCAACCATCGGAGGATTACTGTAATTCTAAAGTGCAAAATCACAGCGTAGATAAGGGCAAATAGTGCTGGAAAATTAGCTCAATCAAAGTGACTTTCTCTCGAAATGTTGATTCTCTTACACCGTATCTATTACCTAGTCAAAAAGGATGGAAAAGATAATAGCCGAGGGCTTTGGCCGCGTTGAGGTTATTTTGAATTTGCATCCTGACTATTCAATCATGCTTTTCTCAGGCGTTAACAAAATCGAAATGAAAACATCACGCGTAATCAATATGTCAGATTATGTACCGGATGATAGGACTATGAACAAATACGCGGAGCTAAGACTGAAAGCCGCAAAATTCAAATTATCTCATTAGCATTGCTCTAGTGAGCTTTGGGTTTGCCTTCGTACGAAGGAAACACGACAGTTGATGACGTTAGTCTCAACTTCACCCAATAAGCAAATTGAAGAGATAATGCTGAAGCTATTCTACACCAAGGATATAGTCAAGAAGGTGTGGTTATCATTAGAGTAGACTTTCTTACTAATGCGTATTGCAAAATTACCTTTCAATGGTCGACTTACGTAATATGTAGGCGAATGTCAGCTTCTCTATTTTTCAACTCCTCAACTTCTCAAAATCGGGCCATTTAGCCCTAGAACGCCAGACAATTAGCCTCCTATATGGCTCATTTATGCGCAGCTCGACATATGCGAAAATTGCAGTATCTATTAGTCCAGAGAAGGAAAAAGCTGAGTTCTTTGCGTGTTCCGCAATGGTGTTATTAATTTTGGACAGAATGCAATCTGCAGCTTGCTTTGAGATCCTAGGCCATGAAGAAATCGAGCACATATAGCAAAATAGATGGAAAACGAGCGAGTTAGTCGTCTAACACGAATTAGAGGGACACTAAAAAGGTGGGGAAATTCTTTATCCGAAAAGACGTAACTTTTGCATTTATTTGTTAGTGATTCTAGTTTGACAAGACATTACAGACTCGAGCACATTTCCAGGAAAGTACATCTGTATACTTGGCTTGGCGAATTAGTAACGTTGAAAGATGAGCTACTATTTTTTGAATTCAGAATTAATCATTGGATTAGTGCAAAAAACGGAGTCTAGCTGTGCATTACCTAATTCACAGTTTCATAATTTGATCTATTCTGTCTGCATTGTAGGAAATAGTACCTGGCTGACGAAATAATTTTCTGACTACTTTTTCTCGGCATGGAGAATACGTTCGTATTGCATGAGTTCAAAACCTATACTAGCTTT